TGATTGTCTCTCGGCCCAGGCTGAGGTGAAGCTGCAGCTGCTCGGTGCAGAGCTCACAGTCTTCAAATTGAGCTCCAGGTACATCCAATTTACACTAAAGGTGCAATGATTAATCAATAAATCAATAAAGTTATTTTCATTCTTTAAAGGCTGTTCTCAGCTTTTTCAATATGGTGATTTGCTGCCTTTCTCTTACTTGTAAATCTTGGACTTTTTTCACTTTTTCTGACATTTTACACACCGCCAATAATCTAGAGAATAATCTACAGATCAATCCATGATTAAAATATGTGTTAGTTGTAGCCCTACTGAACATAACGAAAATAAGAGCGTGCTGTAGATCACAGGTTCCACAGCTTATTGAGTTTAGCATAACATTTTTAATTTGTAAGAAGACAAATAAAATAAAATAGTCTTCATTCATATCTCGGAAACACAGCATTGATAATATAATTATTAATATCGATTCATATATTAATGTTTATATTATTGTATATACTGTAATAAACACATTTTAAAATATGTATTGTTGTTATATATGTTAGTACAATGTGCTTATTGTTTTTCTTCATGTCAATATTTCTAGAATATGTCATCCTTTGATCACAAAACACAATTTCAATCCAGGATAAATACAGTTTTCTTGATTCTGATTGACCCAAAATTAAAGTCATTCAGGTTTCAACAGTAATCCACAAACCTTCAACACATGCTCATGAAGAGATTTCCCATCATGCCCCGCTGTGTGAACAGGTGTGAGAAGGAGCGTGAGCGTCATGGTAGTGTGGAGGCAGAGCTCGGTGACATGAGGCTGCTGAAGGAGGGGGTGCTGGACACTCTGCCAGAGCTCCACACACTGTGGAGAGACCTCACAGAGCGACTGATGGAGCTGCGGAGACAATACCAGCAGGTAACAACACCATGCATTACACCAGCAGGTAGCAACACCATGCATTACACCAGCAGGTAGCAACACCATGCATTACACCAGCAGGTAACAACACCATGCATTACACCAGCAGGTAACAACACCATGCATTACACCAGCAGGTAACAACACCATGCATTACACCAGCAGGTAACAACACCATGCATTACACCAGCAGGTAACAACACCATGCATTACACCAGCAGGTAACAACACCATGCATTACACCAGCAGGTAGCAACACCATGCATTACACCAGCAGGTAACAACACCATGCATTACACCAGCAGGTAACAACACCATGCATTACACCAGCAGGTAACAACACCATGCATTACACCAGCAGGTAACAACACCATGCATTACACCAGCAGGTAACAACACCATGCATTACACCAGCAGGTAACAACACCATGCATTACATCAGCAGGTAACAACACCATGCATTATACCAGCAGGTAACAACACCATGCATTACACCAGCAGGTAGCAACACCATGCATTACACCAGCAGGTAGCAACACCATGCATTACACCAGCAGGTAGCAACACCATGCATTACACCGGCAGGTAACAACACCATGCATTATATCAGCAGGTAACAACACCATGCATTACACCAGCAGGTAACAACACCATGCATTACACCAGCAGGTAACAACACCATGCATTACACCAGCAGGTAACAACACCATGCATTACACCAGCAGGTAGCAACACCATGCATTATATCAGCAGGTAGCAACACCATGCATTACATCAGCAGGTAACACAATTAAAATCAAAGTAGCACTTTCTATGATGCCCATGTCTAATCAGAATCAGAAGAGAATGTCTATAATGCATTAGAAACATACTTTGAATGGATTACAACCGGATAATAGATCTGTTTAATTATGGTTATAAGCACTCATAAACATTCATAATGTTTTAGAACCATTATAACACATGATAAAGCATTTCATTATGAGGTCAGAAATGTAAAACTTAATGACTGCTGCCTATTCACTGACTTTTTAGGAATAATTATAAATATTTTACTTAAATAAACGCCAAATAAAAATGACTGTTAAAGACTTATCAACATATAATGATACTTATTATATAATAATTAAAAGAACATGATGAGTTATAAAAAATAAATAATGCATAGTAGAAACCGTCTTGTACATTTTGACAGGATTGCATTATTACATTATTTAAATGTATAATTATGAGATAGTGAAGCATTACCAACTTAAAAATCTAATAATGTAATGCATCCTATTTAGATTGTTATTATATTTAAAAAGAATACAATGGAAATTGAAAAGGAAATAACGCATTGCAAAAAGAAAGTGATGCATAACATGAAGATAGTGATGTAACATATTGAAATGCAGTATAATAATACTATAATGCATTATTTATGTACGAGTGCATATATTTATACAAAGTTTTAATCAGAATATAACATAACAAAGTTTGTTTATTAATATATCAGAGACAGGTATGTGATAGATTATTCACATTAAAGTTTACGTCCTGTTTCCTGTCTACCTGTCTAGGACAAGCGGGGTCTCCTCGCCCAGGCGTCAGGGGGTGTTGCTGTGGAGATGCAGACAAGGGGGTCATCAGATCTGATCCAGCAGCTGGAGCACCTGAGGAGTGCCGGTGAGACGCTGCTCCACCCGAAGCCGTGCTACAACACCCAGGTACACCAACATCTGCAGCACCGGCCCAACCAGCCTAAACCCAAAGAACAGGTTGCACATTCATTTTATTATGAAATACACTTTTTAAATAGCTTAAATTGTTGCCTTATACAATGTCCGAAAATGATTAAACATTCTCTATTTTGCAAAAGCTGAAAACAACAAGTTCTGAAATGTTTGCAAACATTTCTTTAATGATTAATTGATTGATCAAAAATAATATAAAAAGTATATATATTTTTCTGTCTGCAATTTTTTGGAGCTCTAATGTTCTATCACAGTTCTAAACTTAGTGGAGTTTTGGGAACATTTTATAATAACATTTGTAATAAATACTAACTTGATAGTTAACAAAACTTGAGCTTATAGTTATTTACAGTTCAAAAATGAAATAAGTACTCATTAACAATGGCATTGACAATGGTTATTATAAAGGTTTAGCAGGTTTTTAATGTTAGGTTTGTTGTGTTCAGATGTCTTTGCTGAGCTCTCCAGCGGTGACCTTTGACCCTCGAGCAGGGTCAGAGGTTGTGCAGGCTGAGGTTGAGGAGCTGTGGAGAACAGCAGGAGGTCTGGAGGAGGAGCTCACACAGCTACAGGATCTGGTTAGAGACACTTGAAGTTAAAACATTGGTATTGACTGTGTAGAAATTGAGTTGATGAGAGACTGACTGTGATTAGGATATAGTCATTAGAATGTATGTGTTATGTTAGACATGTGGTTGTCAACAGGACAAAGCCACAAACATGATCTTATAAACGTTGCATTGCTGCAGACTAAACTGGCTTACAGTATATAAAGAAGTTTAAAACAGCAAAATGCAACATATTGCAGCAGTAATATTAGTCCAGAAACATCTTAAAAAATGGTGGGGGACATGTTACTTCCTAAAAATCTAGTGGAGTAAAAGTATAAAGTAGCCTAACCCAAAACTACACTTATGTCGCTTTTCCACTGCAGGACCTAGCACAGCTTAGTATGGTTAGGCCTTGGTGGGCCAGGCTCACTTTATGCTGCGTTTCCATTATAGTTTAGTAACAGGGGTAGTAACTATAGTAACGCAGTGTAGGGGTGGAGCGACACTGCGTAAAACTGCCGTGACGTCATCTTCAATGTGAACCACAAAACAAAACATCAGCCGTTAGCTGTTAGCACTCAGAGCTCACAGCTCCTCATATCTGTTCAGAAATTAGACAAAAGTTAAACAAGTACAAACCACAGACTGTCTGTGTCATGGCGAATACAGTCACTGGTTTATTTATGTCGGTATAGGCCGTTGTTGTGAGTGTGGACGGAGCATATACAACGTTAGCTTAGCCTTTTCGATCAGATCTCCATTCAGAAAACACACATTTTAAAAGGTTTTTCGCCTGCCGTCTTGTCTGCAGACCGGTATCAGTATGTTGTTACTTCGGCATCATTTTGAAACGTGTATTACAATTAAATCAAGGTAAAATATGTTCACTTTGTTGTAGTTGTAGCCCCCTTGCCAGCGATTCTCTCTTACCACTCAGCAGTCGAGAGTGACTAGAAGAGCATATTCAGCCCGGCTGTTGGCCCGGTAAGAACCTCGATTTTGGAGGGCCAGAAAAAAGGTGAAAAAGTAGCCCTGACCCGCAACTACCCCTAGTGGAAAAGCAAAAAAAAAACATGCTACGTGCTGCTGTGGAAAAGCGCCATTAGACTCAGTACTTGAATAAATGTACTTCACTACATTCCACCACTGACCGTATGTGTCTGCCTGTGTAGAACATGGTGTTGGAGGATTCCAGTCTGCAGCAGACAGAGTCCTTCGGCCTGCAGCTGGTGGACCTGCAGCAGCAAGCATACGTCCTGTACAGAGACCTGGACTCAGATCTGCAGTTTGCAGCTCAGCAGGCTGAAGAGCATCAGGCGCTGCTGGAGGTAAACAGCAGGCTGGAGACCCAGATAGAGGACTACAGGAGGCTGCTGGATGCATCAAGCATACAAGGGTAGGACATAAAGACAATTATATGTGACCTGCTCTATCGAAATCAGTCGCATTGACCCGAAGACACATTTTGAGTTGTATACACTGTTGGAAAGAGGATATTCCTAGCTTTCTAATATCAGGATTGTTGTTGTACTCCAAATATTAAGCAAAATATGTCACATTATATAATGACTGTCACAGAGTCATCATTTTGAGAAAAAGGCCTTTAAAGTTTCCTCATCTCTGGAATCCATCGATCTGATTGGTTATTAGCGGAGCAAATGATCAAAGTAGTAACGGAGGGAAGATAGTTTCGTTTGGATTACTGGTCTGGGGGAAGCTCACGAGTGTGTGTGTGTATACGTGTGTGTTTGTGTATTTTTGCGTTTGTTTCCCGGGGAAAACACTCAGGAGAAACACCGGCTGTTGTTATGCTTTCTGTGACGTCAAGTTACTCCGTTCTTCGCTTGTAATTATGCCGTTACAAGCTTCAAAGTTGTATGTATCATCTGAATTTGCCGAAACAAGTTTAATATTCTGAAAGCCAAGACTTTGTTTATTTGAAATCAGATGAAAACAAACTGTAACGGACCCTGCCGTGTTATCTATGAATACTATGCCTTACATTCATAATTTCAGCGGAGGGAGGGGGAGCGGCGCTGTGGAAGAGCATAGTGGCGAGTGAGAGCTGTCATCTTCCCTTTACAAGCTTAAAAAATGCCTATAGCTAATGAGATTGAATATAACAATCAAAAAGGACAAAATATACACAGCTAGATCAGATGGCGTTCTTTTTAGATGCGACTTTAGAGTAGAGGGGAATTATTGAAACGGGATGTGTACAGTGTTCCGCGGCATCCGCTGCTGCGAAAATGTGGGGCAGGACTGTAAAGTGGGGGGGCCAATGGCCCCCTGGCCCACCCGCTTCCGGCGCCCTTGACCGTTAAGCCGCTGGACAAAGGGTGCTGCTATCGGTATATGTGTTACGTGTACTTCCTTAGTTTAACTTTAAACCATTCTGGTTGGTTGGGAACCCTCATCCCGTGTGATGTATCCGGTTTGAGACCCCTCTGATTGGCCACTGGAAATGCCACTCCTCATCTCTCTCAACAGCGCTCTTATTATTGTTGTGAGACTCCCGCAGGCGTTTATTAACACTGACAGTGTATTAATGTGAGCTCCTACACCTATAATAAGTTGGCCTTTCATTGAATGCTTTATAAACCAGTTAAACTTACAGATGTCATTGTGAATTGGAAAACTGCATTTAAATGTTGTTAAATGTCAACGTTTCAATGTATGGTTCAGCAATTGTTGGTCGTTTACTAGGAATTGATATATTTTAAGCTCAAATACGTTGTTCTATGTTTAAACCTTCAGACACATTTTGACGTGTTTCAGTTCAGCATATCATTTATGTTTTGATGATTTAGAATTACAATCCAGAATAATATACGTACTGGCCTTTATCTTTTTGCCATCTTAGCCTTTTGACCAATTTCTTCATATCACAGTTTTGCATGATGTCACTGTAGGACAATGTTTTAAGGATCTCTT